GCGTTTCAAAGCCCAGATCTGCCTGCTAGGTGGTGTGCTCATTGCAGCCGGCCTGCGGCTGCCTCTCGCCCCTCTCCATGGGTGGAGCTAGGGAGTGCGAGCGTGCATACCAGCCCACGCATGCCCGTGAATAAATGAAAAAATCAATTTGCGCAGCACCACGAAGCCTGTTCTAGTGCTTCCAATTGCTCGCTGTTTTAACTTTCCATGTCGTCTGAGAAACCTGGTGCTCATCTCCCTGTTCACATACTTGTTCAGCAGTAGATGAGCGATACGTGTGCTGGCTGCTCTACAACCTTGCCAAGATGTGGTCTTGCCAGGGCGGCTCCTTAGTGTTGTTGCTTGTGTGTGTTTTCTATCTGAATTTCATTGCTAGTAGGTGTGTAAGGATACTGCAGTGTGTTGTTAAGTTGCCTCTTCCTAAGGATTGATGATATTGAACCCGTGTTCATGTGCTGTTTGCCTTTCAGAAGTCTTCCCTTGTGTTGGAAATCTTGCCCTTTTTTTTTTTTTTTAACAAATAGACAGTGAGAGAGAGAGACAGACAGAGAGAAAGGTCTTCCTTCCATTGGTTCACCCCTCAAATGGCTGCTACAGCCGGAGCTGCGCTGATCTGAAGCCAGAAGCCAGGTGCTTCCTCCTGGTCTCCCATGCGGGTACAGGGGCCCAAGCACTTGGGCCATCCTCCACTGCCCTCCCGGGCCATAGCAGAGAGCTGGACTGAAAGAGGAGCAACTGGGACTAGAACCCAGTGCCCACATGGGAAGCCGGCGCCGCAGGTGGAGGATTAACCAAGTGAGCCACAGCGCCGGCCCCCAATCTTGCCCATTTTTAAAATTGGGTGGTTTTCTCCCTGCAGCATTTTGGTGGTTCTTCCTGTGTTTTGGATAGAGCCCCTCTGTCAGAAATGTGCTTTGCGGAAGTCTCCTCCCAGTGTGTGGCTTGGGTTTTTCTTTTGTTGTTCCCGTTGCTGTTGTTTTTTACAATGTCTTTTGCAAAACAGAAACTTTTAAAAATATTAATAAAACTGGCCAGTACCGCGGCTCACTAGGCTAATCCTCCGCCTGTGGCACCAACACCCTGGGTTCTAGTCCCGGTTGGGGCACCGGATTCTGTCCTGGTTGCTCCTCTTCCAGTCTAGCTCTCTGCTGTGGCCGGGAGGGCAGTGGAGGATGGCCCAAGTGCTTGGGCCCTGTACCCACGTGGGAGAGCAGAAGGAAGCTCCTGGCTCCTGGCTTTGGATTGGCGCGGTGCGCCAGCAATAAAGGCCATTTGGGGTCCAGGTGAACCAACGGAAAGAAGACCTTTCTCTCTGTCTGTCTGTCTCTCTCTCACTGTGTAACTCTGCCTGTCAAAAAAAAAAAAAGTTAATTAAACTGATTTATCAATTTTTATCTTATTGATTGTGCTTTTGGTTATTTTGGTGCTCAGAATTTTGAAATCTGTGTAGTTTTTTTTTCATACTCACTTTCCAAGATTTTTTTTTATGATTTGTTTATTTATTTGAAAGAGTTACAGAGAGATAGAGGCAGAGAGAGAGGTCTTCCATCCGTTGGTCCACTCCCCAGTTGGCCGCAATGGCCGGAGCTGCGCCAATCTGAAGCCAGGAGCCAGGAGCTTCTTCCAGGTCTCCCACGTGGGTGCAGGGGCCCAAGGACTTAGGTCATCTTCTTCTGCTTTCCCAGGCCATAGCAGAGAGCTGGATCAGAAGAGGAGCAGCCAGGACTAGAACTGGCACCCATATGGGATGCCAGCGCTTCAGGCCAGGGTTTTAACCCACTGCGCCACAGCACCGGCCCCACACCAAATAATTTTAACAAGTAAAACCATTTCTTAACAGCATGGTTTGTTTTGTTGTTGAATTTTATCAGCTCCTTATGGTGTTGCGCATACCAATCCTTTATCAGTTTCAGTCTCTTAACTGATGTGTGAGGCTATTGCTTCTAATGTTATCCTGCATGTAGCAGGGTTAAAATTTGCCATGTTGCCCACTGTTTTTAATTTCATGTTTTCTCTTTTGAGTTTTCTTTTATGCCTTCTCTCATAATTAATTCAGCATTTATATCATTCTATTTTATCTCCTCAGATTTATTGGATACATTTTTAATGATTTTGGTTGTCCACTTTGAAATAACGTGACATGGACTGACTTGTAAATAGCGTTCTCACAATTCCTCTGCTCCATACTTTGCCTCAGCCTGGCACCTTTTATATGTACATATGCTATAAAAACGAAATCTATTCTTACTACTTTTGCTCCATACAGTCGATTCTCTTTCAGGGCAATTACAACTAAGAAAGAGCCTTTCAGCCTCACGTATTCCATTCCGCCTGACTCGTGTTCTTTCTGCCTGAAGACCTTCCTTTGACGTTTGTTGGCAGGCAGGTCTGCTTGCAGCAAATCCCCTCACTTTTGTTTTGTCTTCTAAGAAAAGTCTCAGTTTCTCCTTTGTCTTGAGTTCCTTTCCGTAGGCATGGAAATCTGGTTTGGCAGTTTTCTTGCTGGCACTGTTACTATGTTTTTCATTTGTGGTATTTTGTTTTTAAAGATTTATTTATTTATTTGAAAGTCAGAGTTACACAGAGAGAGAGGAGAGGCAGAGAGAAAGAGAGAGGTCTTCCATCTGATGGTTCACTTCCCAATTAGCTGCAACGGCCAGAGCTGTGCAAATCCGAAGCCAGGAGCCAGGAGCTTCTTCTGGGTTTCCCATGTTGGTGCAGGGGCCCAAGGACTTGGGCCATCTTCTGCTTTCCCGGGCCATAGCAGAGAGCTGGATTGGAAGTGGAGCAGCCAGGTCCTGAACCAGTGCCCATGTGGGATGCCAGCACTTCAGGCCAGGGCGTTAACCCGCTGCTCCACTGTGCTGGCCCCATTTGTGGTATTTCCATGTCGTTGGTTTTTAGGGCTCCTAGACAGTGCAGAAATTCCAGCAGAAATCCCCATCTGATAGTGCCTGCTGCCCACTTTCCCCAGGGGCACGTTGAACGTATCCATCATCATCATTCTAAATTCTCTGTCCGGTCTAACATCTCTGGTTCTCTTGATAACTTTGTCTCTTCAGAGTGGATTTCTCCTGCCTTTGTGGATGTCTTGTAGTTTGGGGTTGAAGGCGGGACACCTCATGGGAAACACTGGGGGCACAGGTGCACCATTCTTAACCTGGAAAGAGCCTGTGGTGGCCCTGGCCGTCCTCCCTGTGTGGGGGCTGCCTGTGCCCACAGACACCTGGCGTTCTAAGCGGGAGCTGCATCCCTGGATCACAAGAGCAGCATCTATTCAGGTCCGGTTTTAGGTCTTCCTTTTGCCCTGCACCTCCCACTCTTGACCTCTGTCCCTTTCCCAGCCACATCTTGCCACGCCCTTGTTCAGGACTGCTTAGCTGGGCGTGAGGGGGTGAGGAGGAGGACATGTGCGTCCCTGTTCTCACGGAGGTTCAGTCTCGTACGTTTCAGAGCTGGGGCCTCCTCCGTCCTCCTGCTCCTCCGCCAGCTATTGTGTGTGCACGGTTGTAACCGTGTCCCTTTGCAGAGCGCCGTGCCGTGTTTTTCTGCTGTTCTCTTCCCTGCCGCGGTGAGCTTTCAACAGTGTCCTGACGCCAGCAGTGGCTTCTGTTTGCCCAGTGGCAAGACGGGCGATGGACCCAGTGGGGTTCTTTTGCCTTCCCGCAAGGCCACTGCTCCTGGCCCCAGATCTGGACCACAGCGGACGACACCCTGTCCTGTGCTGTGAGCGGCTGAGTGAGGTTCGTGTCGAGAGTCAACGAGAGCTGTAGCCCCCGGAGGTGTCACAGTCCTACCGATTCCTTGTTTCCTTCTGTTGACCGTTTTAGCAGAACTCACGTGACCCATGTCATGTCCCAGGTATTTCTCATCTTTCACTTGAACACATTCGATCTAGTAACCAAAGTAGCCGCTAAGTGACTGACGGGCAGGATGGAGGGCTGACCCGCGTTCCAGGCAGGATGGGGCGGAAGGGGGCAGAGTGTCATCGGACTGCTCAGAACAGCCAGTGCCCGATTTAAAACTTGCGAATGGCTTCTTTCTAGAATTTTCTGCCTGATATTTGTGGACTGTCATTGCTCGTAGGTGACTGAAACCAGAAAAAGCAAAACTGCAGAGCAGGGGGCATTGCTGTGCGTGTGAATGCAGACTGTGTGACAGCTAAACGAGGGGTGACCCCGCGCCTACCTCGCTGCCTCTCAGTTACAAGGAGGTGGGGAGATGTTCACATCCCTCCCCCTGTTAACTCTCCAGCGTCTATCAGCTTTCCAAGGGGCTGGGCCTCTAACTTACAAGATTTTGATTAGGTGAAGTTTTTAAACCAAGTCCTACTTAAAATTAGGAGAATCCTGGGACTGTTCCCTGTTCCAGCTGGAATATTCCTTGTTAAATCCAATGAGGTTAGGAGGCTGATGTTAAGGGTGTTTAGATACCCCCCCCCTTCTTGTGAGAGATTGAATCAGAGCAGAGAAAAAATTGACAAGAAAATTTAGCACATCTCTTGGTTTAAAAAAGAAAAAAGCCTTAAAGAATACCATGCCAAGGCTCAAAGGAACACGCCTGTAGCTCTACTAAAATATTAAAATTATTTGGCTTGCAAACACCAAGTGCCATCAACATTTTGTCTCTTCTTGATTTATTCAATGAAAGGACGACTAGGACCGCGACTAGGAGTCCAGGAAAAGTGTAGGCTGAGCATTCGCTCGTGTTTTAAGAGATATTTCCGGTACACTGCTTGGGAGCTTCCCCTCCATCTCTGTGTCTGGCCCTCTCTGCCTGCGTGGCACTCACCCCGCCTGCCATGGCCGTGCCGCCCTCCCGAGTCCCCGTCGGACCGCCCGGCTCCTCTCCCTCTCCCTCTCCTCGGCTACGGTGGGGCTTCTGTGGGCAGGGCCCTTGTCTAGCCTCCCTCACAGTGTCGCCAGGCTCATAGGGAATGAAAGCTTGCCCTGTCCACGCGCGGAACATTCTATAATGGACTCTCTTGGTTGTCTCACTAGATGAAAAGCAGAGGTTCAGTTATGAGCGGTCCGGCTATGACCTGGAAGAATCGGATGGCCCCGATGAGGAAGAGAACGAGAACGAAGATGATGACGAAGACAGCCAGGCCGAGTCGGTCCTGTCGGCCGCACCCTCGGTTCCAGCCAGCCCCCAGCACCTTCCCTGCCGAGGCGGCCTGCCGGAGCCGGTGAGCGCTGACGAGGACAGCAGGACGCCCGACTGCTGCTCGGGGCTGCACGCCGACCCCATGGACGTGCTGCCCCGGGCGCTGCTCACCAAGATGACGGTGCTGAGCGCCGTGCGATCCGGCTGCGGCCGGAAGACGGACTCACCAGTGAAGGCCAGGCTGCCTGCTGCCAAGGACGAGGGCCGGGGGCCGCCTGGTGCAGACCCCGCCCCCAGAGCTGCGCCGCGGTCCCCGTGTCGGCAGATGTCCGTGGACTACCCTGAAGCAGAGGAAATTCTCAGCAGTCCTGCGGCGGGAAAGGTAAACGGCCGGTTCTGCGCTCAGTGTGCTGCTTTTCATCCGCTAGGCGTGCAGAACCTAACGGTCAGGAAGACCGTGTACCCGAGTGGCTGTCCTTGGCCAAGCGGTTTGCATGAGTCTACATTTCTGTATATTTTAGGGCAGAAGCCTTTTAGTGTCTGTCAGAGCCTTGTGGAGTATTTTAATCAGAGTTTGCGTGTGGCACTCTTAAGTCCGTGAGAGAGCTGGCAGGTTCCGGGAAACACCCACGTTGATCCCTGGTGCTCTAAAATACCTTAAAGTAAAAGACGGGTGTGCCCGCTGAACACGGGGCTGCGGGGCTCCTCCACACCACGGTGTCCTGAGCTGTGTGTGCCTGCTGAACACAGGGCCGCGGGGCTCCTCCACACCACGGTGTCCTGAGCTGTGTGTGCCCACTGAACACGGGGCCGCGGGGCTCCTCCACACCACGGTGTCCTGAGCTGTGTGTACCCGCTGAACACGGGGCTGCAGGGCTCCTCCGTGCCACGGTTTCCTGAGCTGTGTGTGCCCACTGAACACGGGGCCGTGGGGCTCCTCCGTGCCACGGATTCCTGAGCTGTGTGTGCACGCGGCTGGGGCGAGGGTTTGCACTGAGCTATCCAGACATTGTCACTCTGTTTCCCCGTTGACGAGACGGTCAGCGCAGACAGCTGCCTTGGCTTGAGCCATCACGTTGCTTGCCACAGCCTGGGGAAGCAGACGCAGGCCTCCCGCGAGGCGCGTCGAAGGCACCTGAGGAGCTGCTGCCTCACCCCTGGCTGGCTCCCGGCGGTTCCTGGGCTCTGGGGAGAACACTGCTCCTCTCCTTTCAGCCCTCCCTGCTCTGGTGGGCATTGAACATTGCTCTAGGCGATAGAATGTGGTTTGCAAGACAGCGCTTGAGCATAAACTAGAAGACTTGGGTGTCTGCAGACTAGCCTGACTTCTTAGACTAGAATCATTTTAGCGTTTAAGTGATGTTGATAGAGACGCTAATACGTAAATGGGCGTAGCTCTGTGATAGAGGTATTACCAAGGATAAGCTGGTGTGGATAGCCATCGTGGGTAGAAAGGAAGACAGACAAGATGGATCGGTCCCTGCCAGCCGCATCTTCTGTATTGCCACACGTGTTCTGTTTCTCCATCCTAAAATCTCACATGCCGGGCAGTCCCTGGAAAGTGGTTGTCAGTGGACAGTTCATATGAACAAACCAACAGCTAAAGGCCTTTTTGCTAATGTGACAGCCCTATTTCATGGGCAGTTAATACTCTGGGTAATTTTTCCCTGCTGAGTTGATCCAGCCAACAAATATCTTGGTGCCTGAACGGCGCCTAGTCCCTAAGAGGGGACAGGGCTGGTGGTTCGGGGAATAACCACCATGTAAGACTGTAGTTGGGATCATGTCTCACTGCAGTGTGTTGAAATCCAGGCAGTTGGCATGAAAAATGAACAGTGCTATACAAACTGCAAGCCACGTTGCTGTCGTTTGCACTAGAAAAAAAAAATAAAGATTTAATTAGAGATACAATGTTTTTTTAGAGGGACACTTACTTTTACAAATCATAGTACAGGTTTTTAACAAGCTTGTAATTTTTATAAACCACAAATACGCTCGTGGAGTGAGAAGATGGAGCGAGCAGGGGCGTTTTAGCTCCATGGCTTAGAAAGCTCTGTTGTAACAGAACGGCTCTCTCTTGTCTTTCAGAACTTGTCCCCTGCGGGACTGCCCGCCGCCAGCCCGCACAGCCCCTCGCCTGCAGCGGGGGTGCCGGCCCAGGCCTCGCCTCGTCCGGACACACAAGAGCAGAAGCAGCAGGCCACGCAGCGCCCGACTCCCGGCTCACCCTCGCCCTCGCCCCAGACGCACCTGTTCAGCCACCTGCCGCTGCATTCGCAGCAGCAGTCCCGAACACCTTACAACATGGTCCCCGTCGGGGGCATCCACGTGGTCCCCGCCGGCCTCACCTACTCCACCTTTGTACCCATTCAGGCGGGGCCCATGCAGCTGGCCATCCCCGCCGTGAGTGTCCTCCACAGGACCATGGGCACCCCTGCGGATGCTGCGGCAGAAGCGCCCGGCACCGCGCAGCCCCCCAGCAGCGTCGTGCCCTGCATTCCCATTGGCCAGATCCGGGTGCCTGGCCTGCAGAGGCTGAGGCCGCCGGGCAGCCTGGAGACGGTCAGCATCGTGGGCCTGGCCGGCGGCAGCGTGGGCCCACAGGTGCAGCCGCCGGGCCTGGCGCTCAACGCCGTGGGGCTGCAGGTTCTGGCCGCAAACCCTGCCTCGCAGAGCGGCGCCGCCCCGCAGGCCCACATCCCCGGGCTGCAGATCTTGAACATCGCCTTGCCTGCGCTGATCCCCTCGGTCAGTCAGGTGCCCGTGGACGCCCACGGGGCCCCCGAGCTGCCAGTCTCCCAGAGCAAAGCGCGCGACACACAACCCAAGCAGACTGATGTAGCCCCCGCCAACCAGGGCAGCAGGACCGAGTCTCCTCAGGGGTCGCCGGGAGCCCCGCCGGAGCCACCTGTGCCCGAGGGCGCAGGTGCAGCGGGCGCGGAGCACCAGACGCCCCGGCCGGAGCTGCCGTCGGCTCAGGGCCAGCCGGCAGCCCCGGACAGCCAGGCGCCCCGGCCGGCGCCGCCACCCCGCAGGCCGCCCGCCGCACCGCTGAGCGACGCCAGCAGCGACGACGAGGACCGGCTGGTGATCGCGACCTAGAGGTTCTTTTCTATCGTTTGTCCTTTTCTAATAACACTTGCAGGTGTCTTTGAAAGCCCTCCTTTCCTTAAAGCACATTTTTCTGACATGAACTCATGACTAATCTTTGTGCAATCATGAACTTTTGACCAATAATTGTTTTGTGTCAGCTCCAGCCATTTTGTACATGTTGTATAGACAATTGTGCCTTTTAGGAGTTTTATGTTTAGCTACTGTACAGTTTGTTGAATATCTATATACATAAAAAATATATTCTATATGTCGATGAGAACAGGCAGTTACTTGTGTTTAGTAAGAAGAACCTGTCCAATAAATCAGCTGATTAAATTATATGTTGCACTGTTAAATGCGGATTTCTCTGGCCGTGGGGCAGTTTCTGCGTGTGAATTAGTATGTAAACTCCATATTTATTGTGTTCCTATTAGTCTCTGAGAATGGTCTGCCCTACAGTGTAAGACAGCGACTACACTGCAGACAGATTCTCTGTGTTCCGAAACGTTTCAGTAAAATACTGTTCGCTGACTTCTCCAGTGCTTCAGCTGTGCCTTCTTTACATCATGCGCTGACCAGAGCTCTGTCCGGCGCGCAGCCCGGGGTCCGGCCACCCTCCACTCCCAGAGATGTTCCTTGCTCCCTTGTGACACTGAGACCCGGACCCCCAAAAGAGCCGCTACCCCGTTTGTGCGAAGTAATTGTGTAGATTGTAACCTCTTAGAATAATGACTATTTAAGAGCATTTTCTCGTAAGTACATATAACGTGCAGCCCGAAATGGGAAAGGTTCTAAAGTACGAATATGGAAATTTCTGCTAAAATTGATCAGAAAATAGCGATCGTGAGACATTGGCTTCATTGAGAGACCCACAAAGCCCATTTCTCAGGCTCCAAGCCCCAGTCTCTACATCAGCTCTGTGCACCTGGGCGAGAGCTCTGTCCAGCACTAACCCAAGACTGGGGCAAGACCCAAATTCGGACTTGTAAATTACCTAAATGATTGTCTAGCAATGATTACTTCCTGTCCTGGGCCCTATGACCCTCCTCACTCACTTAGGAAAATGAGGGGTTGGGAGAATCCATGGTTGCCGCTGGGTGGTTACACTGTCCAAGGGTTACAGACACTGGATCTGTGAGTGCCAGTTGGAGCTTTGGGATCTGAATACCTAGTGCATTAGCAAGGCTGTGTGTTCTCTGAGTTAAAGACTGGCTTCATGCTGGTGGCAGGGACATGAAGCTGGTGGGACAATGAGGGATGATGGAGTGTGGAGACCCCTCCTAACCAGCCCCCTGCCTCACACCTGTGATTCTGAGGAAGGCACCCGGCCTGCCCACCTGGCCGCCCTCACCCAGTCAGGAGTCTCCAGGATGCACCAGCCTCAGGTGCAAGCTTCAGTGTAGGTTTCTACCTTAGCGCAGATTAAGTAACAGAGTCTTCAGAAATCCTAAGACTGCCTTTCTTATTCTGAGACAGACATGAAAGGAATTTTGGAAACTTCTGTAGCAATTACATTGCCCTATCAATATGGTTGTTGAAAAGGAGGTTCCTTATCTGTCTGAAGTTTCAAAATAATTATTAACTTTTAACTGTGTGCCCCATCTTCTGTTATCCTTTTGTTGTCTACAGTTTTAAAGCAGTATAATGCATATCCTTATGCCTGTGGCTATACATTAAGTATATATTACTTCTCTGAAACCAAAAGTAATGCTCAGAATTTTAGCTGGAGGAGGTTTTTTTTTTTATTTTTAGTTTGTATAGCATTTTCTTATTTTGAAGAATTACTGCCTTTAATCCTTGTTGTCATATACTTGTATGCTCCCTTGAAAAGTGTCATAATGTTGTAATATGCCTTAATCTTATTTTGTACTTTGGACCATTCAAGATTCATTACAGTATGCACATGCCTTTAGGATTAGTAACCTTCTTGCTTTAATGTGGCTTTGCAAATATTTTTTTGCTGGTACATGCAGTACTCAACTTGAGTGGTTTGATTCATGATTGTCTAGACAAATGATCGTGCAAAAATGATACACATTCAGTAGAAACTGTACTTGGAATGTTGCACGGGGGTCTTCCATGCGCTGACGCCATGCTGGCAGATTGGCTCCTGCACAGCCGTGCAGTGGCAGTGAGCACAGTTCCCAGGCTGCTGCAAGGTGGCCGGTCACCCCCGGAAACCCCTGGCACTCTGCAGTGCACCCTGCTGCCGAGCCGGAGTGCTTGTTAGGTGCGGTCAGTGCATGCTCCGCCTCAGGATGCTTTGGGCACTGTGAGTTTCTCTGGACGTGGCTGCATTGTACATAGAGGCACAGTGTGTTTGACATATGCAGCTACGAAGAAATGATAGCAAAGTCTGAGCCGTTATGTTGAGAGACTCATATGAACCAACAAGGGAGGTTGGCTTTAACCCATGTGAAGTCGCCTTTTCCCAAGGACTGCTGTTCACTTGATATTCCCAAGTGCAAATGACTTGCCCGTGACGTAATTCAGAGAACTGGTCTGAATTACAGAAATTACCAAAAAAGCATTTGTCTTTTAGTCTGTTGTCCTGAGAAGACCCTGATGGGTCAAGAACAAGGGTACAATTGCATCGCAAACCTCTTCGGCAAAATAGGTTGAAAGCATAATACATAAAATTCCAGTATCTTCTTGCCTGAATCCACCAAAATGGCACCATCCAGGACCGTTAGAAGAAATAGCTGATGAGCCAAAACCACTTTTCTAGTTTTCAAAAACAACTGTATCTGTTATTTGGAAATGTATTCTAAGGTAACATAAATGGAGGACAGCCTAGTAATGTATTTTCATCTCCCAGTCTCATAAGCCACACAGGAACTGTTGCTTTGGGAATAATTGCCCAGTGGTATTTAATGTGGAAGTTTTCTTTTTTATTTTTTTCATAATATAGCCCTGATATTCTTTTCACAGAAACCGTGTGAATGACACTTTTCTCGTGAGTTAATCCCTGACCTGCATTTCAAACGATGAAACTAAGGATGATGGGAGATTCACTCATTTTGTCGGAAGACTGTCAGAGTATTTCCTTCCTGACGCATGCGCAGGTCAAATGATAGCATCAGTGCGCTTGTTGACTTTTTCTGCTTTTAACCTCTTATTTTTTGAGATGTTTAAGCAACACCAAAAAGGTCGTTTCCATTTGAATAACTTGATTTTCAAACCACCTGTAAACTCTAAGAACTGGAATCTTATGAATCTAATCTTAAAAATGACTTCTGGCTTTGGAGAATTCTCTACTTAATATTCAAAGAATATTATCAGGTAAGTATTTATAATCTTTCGGTGACAACGTCCTGCTTTCATTTTAAAAAGTGAAGAGAGTGAATATGACCCAAGGATAGTGAGATACTAGAGGGACAAGTATTTGGCCTAGAGGCGAAGAATCCACCTGGGACCCCGGCATCCCAGCTGGCAGCGCCTGGATTTGGGTCCTGGACGTAGTGCCAGCTCCAGCCTCCTGCTAATTCATGCCGCGGGAGTCAGCAGTGGTGGCACAAGTTGCTGGGTCACCGCCCCTCATGTGAGACCTGGATTCGATTCCCAGGTTCAGTCCAGGCTGCCCCGGGGCCTGTTAGCATCTGGGAGTGATCCACCTGATGGAGGGACTCCCTCTCTATCCCGCCCTCCTTCTCTCTGCTCTGTCTGCTCCTCAAGTTACACAATCTGATCACGTAAACATATTGGGTTCCCCATTCTTACGTGGTTCACCTAGAACCTTACCTGTACAGGTTTCTGTATGAGATACCGCAGGTGTAAAAATTGGAGACGTAACCTGCCCTTGGGTGTTCCCTGTCTTCTGAGTCAGAGGGAACCTCTCTGGCCTCCCAAATTGTCTTAATAAAAGTTCCAATGCCAATACTATGCAAGATGTAAAATAAATTAGAAGATACAGATTCTACCTCAAAGAAGCACACCTGCTTGGGACAGTATGAGAGCACCGCACCTCAAAGTCCTGGTGTCTTCAGCAGCGAAAGAATGTGGCAGGTTTAGCAACTGCCTGCGATGTCGCCATCCCGTGTGAGTGCGGTCCCAGACCTGGCTGCTCCACTTCTGATCCAGCTCTCAGCTAGTGGGCCTGGGAAAGTAGCAATGATGGTTCAAGTGCTTGGGCCCCTGCCACCCACACGGGGGACCTGGTTGGAGTTCCAGGATCCTGGCTTCCACTTGGCTTTGCCCTGGCTATTGCGGTCATTTAGGGAATGAAACAGCTAATGGAAGATCCAGCTCTCTCTCTTTTCCTCTCTCTATATAACTCTGCCTTTCCAGTCAATAAACAAATATTAAAACAAGAAAAGAATGATTCGTGTATGTGGGAGGTTGCTGTGTCTTTTTTTAAAAAAAGTACAGAGTTTGGGACTTCAGGAGTGGGTGTTGTGGCCTGGCAGGTTAAGCCTTTGTGATACCAGCATCCCATATGGGTGCCAGTTTGAGACCTGGCTGCTCCACTTCCTATCCACATCCCTGCTAATGTGCCTAGGAAAGCAGCAGAGGATGGTCCAAGTGCTTGGATTCCTGCATCCAAGTAGGAGACCCAGATGAAGATCCAGGCTCCTGGCTTCAGCCTGGCCCAGCCCCGGCCATTGCAGCCATTTGTGGAGTAAACCAGGGGATAGATCTCTCCCTCTCTGTCTCTCTTCATCTCTCTGTAATTCTGCCTTACAAATAAATAAGAAATAAATCTTTAGGGACCGCCACTGTGGTGTAGCAGGTAAAGTCGCTGCCTACAGTGCCAGCATCCCATATGGATTCTGGTTCAAATCCACTTCCAATTCAGCTCTCTGCTATGGCCTGGGAAGCAGTGAAGGATGGCCCAAGTGCTTGGGCCCCTGCACCCATGTGGGAGACCTGAAAGAAGCTCCTGGCTCCTGACTTCGGATCTGCACAGCTCCAGCCTTTGTGGCCATCTGGGGAGTGAGCCAATGGGTGGAAGATCTTTCCTCTCTCTTTCTCTCTGTAACTGAATTTCAAATAAATAAATAAATCTTAAAAAAAAAGAATTTGGGACTTCAGATATGGTGTCAGGCAGCAGAACAAAACCACAGAGCCATGTCAACTGAGATAAATGGAAGAGAGAAGATTCACTCAGACCGTGAATGAAGATCTACTTAGTACCAGCAACGTAGAAAACACCCGAGACAGGTAAATTGAAAGCAAGTTAAATGGTGTCTACCTTCCAGGAGCTCAAGTTCTAGTTAAAGAGTAAATAAGCAAAATGCAAAGTATCTTGAGTAGCATAAAGTGATCCAGTCAAATGCAGTGGAGAGTGAGGAGGGCGGGTTCAAGGAGAATGTTTGAAGTTTGGCTTCAAAGCAACTTTGTTAAGCAGAGGCATGGATGGGAAGAACATTTCAGGCAGAAGGAATGTGGAGGATCAGTGTTTATCCCTACTATGCGCCTTTACAGTCCCATTCTAAAGACCAGAAAGGTGTATCTCACATAGATGCTGGAGCTGGTATATGAAACCAGGCTTTCATGGTGCAATGCATTACATGTAAGGAAAGGCTCAGGAGATGT